TGAAATTACTATAATATTTACAAAACCCCTTCTGATATTAGTTTATATGTTTATTAAAATCAATTGATCATTCAATAGTAACCAGTTGATCAAGGATCATTAATTACAACTACTTATTACTTATTTTATTTAATGGATATTTAGATCATAAGTATTGTGGTGTGTGCTATTTATATTGACATAAGTAGTATATGATGTTAGCCATGAACAGAAAGTCTGGCAGCAGAGAGACAAGAGGATCGAACAGTAAAGAATGGAAACAGAATGCAATTTGTATGGAAATATAAGAACAATGAAGTCTGAGTCATTTTGAGACAATTGGCGGACATTTTGCAAAATTAAGCATTTACTTCATGATTGTTAGATTTTATTAACACGTCCTATAATTTTGTGTTAAATGCGTTCGATTGTCCCCACTGGTGTTCTTGTTCACTACAGTATCAATTAGAAGACATAATTTCATTGTTGATCGGTTCAAACTAACCAACATATCAATCTTACTGATGATGTTTTATTAAAAGACATAAGTTAATTCAAGATATTTTACTTATTGTGTTAGACTAATGAATCAAATGTTGAATGGTTATAGTGTAACCTTAAGATTTAGAACTACTTATTTGTATAGAATTATATCTTCTCATCAAAATGAATCCCGAGAGCAGGATCGTGGATTCGTACTGCTGTCAAGTCCCACAGCAGGACGAAACGGCCATTCAGTGCTTTCAGGTTTCCGACGATGGTCTAACATCAATCGGTTCATGATCTCAATCAAAAACTTAATAAATTCCACAACCCCTATACTGATAATTAACATGTGCTCACTAGTGACTAGCTTTGTGGGGGAATTCTCGGAGTTCTAATGAGAAACCATGATCAGTGAAACTAATCTGTGTCAGATTTAAAGCGAACGATTTTAGGTTTAATTTTTGATATGGATATTAATCATGATATGTATATACATTCAACTGATGAGTCACATGTTAAACAAATACAAACTTTCTATTGCATAAGTCTATAATAAATTACTTAGATATTTGATCATTTAGAAAATTATGTAATAATCCAAAGAGAACAACTTGCATTGACTGTTTAAAAAAACAACAATAAAACGGTTTACCTTGAGTCATTTTTTAAAAAGAAAATCAGAGGTGAAATACTAGCTCAAGTAAAGTACATCTTATCATTCCTAGTCAAATTGACTCAATAGAACTATCATTCAAAATAACTTCAAAATCCAAATGAACACCAGTCAAAGCTGTAAAGTTTTGAAACAATCCAGAAATGTTAAGCCTAAACTTTACATTTAAAAGCATATAATGTAATCAGTCATTCTTTCATGTCTTTAACTCTCCTTCCAATTTGTTTTCTTATTTAAGAATCATTCATCGTTTATGATTACAATTGTTCATAGTTATTACTTATATTACTATTGTTTCCGTATATTTCTGAAATACAAAATTGGCTCTCTTGTTTCTGAACTGCAAAACTATTTTTCACCTTAATGTTTCATAGAATTCTTTGATTTGTTTTGTAATTTTTTCCTTGAAAGACATGAGAAACATATTCAATCATAATGGTGTAGGTGTATACACTCCCTATCTTCTCTTAAGCTATGAGATTAAAATTGCTTCATATCTTTCTTTCTACCAACTAATCCCCTCTTACTGTATTATATCCTTATATGCAATCTTTGTTTTATATATTACCATCATTGAAGTGACTACTTTTATGAATTTGGTGTTCATCTTGTTGTGCTAATGAGGTATGGTAACTTGGACCGATGCATATATGTGCCTGGTCCTACATTGTAACTGACTGACTGACTTTTAAAATTATGTAATATCCATCTACTTTATCATAGATATTTATATACTAAACTTGATCGTACACCATTAGCAGGTGAAATCAATAAGAAAAAAATTTTTTTCACCTTAAATTATCTTTTACTAGAAAAGAAGGCCCAAGACAGAGTGGGTTGGAGAATGCTGGTCGGTGGCCTATGCTCCATTAGGAGTAACAGGCGTAAGTAAGTAAGTAAATTATCTTTGTATTATCTTTAATTACAAACGAATTATGTATAACTGAGAATAACCTCTTAAATACTTCATTGTTATATGAGTAATATCATGTACTATTTAAGTAGACAGTGACATGAACTAACACCGTCAAACCATCCTTAAAATATTTAGAAATAATTGGTAGAAAACTTTGCCTTCATTTTAAAATTATTATTGTACATTTACATGACTGAAATATATCTTGATTCATATAGAAGTAACCATTCCATCAGAGATTGGAATCTAATTCATTGGTGTAAGAGTAGGTTAGAAGAAAGGTAGAGGCGGCCAGACCAAAACATGGCACTAGTTCATGAAGTCACTGACAAGTGAACTGAGTGATGTTGGTGGGTGTAGACTACCTGGTTGGGGACCGCGAGATGATAGCAACCAATGGTTAGAGACCCTGAATGACATGGCTCAAAGTCGTTTGCAATGGCTCAGATGCATCCACTCTTTGTGTTCTCTTAAATTCTAATCTACTGGATCCTCCTTGTCTCTTTTTTTCTCTTCCCAAATTTATTTCACTGGATTATACTCTTTAAATAACATCTCCAAACCCTAATCTTTCCGATTACTGATTATACTCTTACTGCTTCTACCACTATGGGATTTGAATCGAAAACTGCATTTCTGTGCTAATGTGGTGTGGCAACTCGAACTGATGTACGTACGTACGAAGTTCTAAGTTGTTACTGACTGACTGAATACCAAAATGAATCAAACTCATTCAAATTATTACCATATTGTGTTTACTATAAACTCTGACAACTCTCAATTCAACTTTGTATAGGATTGTATTAGGATACTACTAATTAATCTCAAATATGAATAATAAATCTATGAGGAAAGCTGTTTACTACCTAATATAGATATTTGTTTTAGACTATTTTACTTAGCACTGATTTATATAACTTGCTTTCATTCACAGTTTTTTGTGTACCATACAAATGTTCAAAACAAAATAGTCGTGTAAAGCAATTAATCCCTTTGATAAATTTCGATAATGTAATAAGAAGACGAAGATTATCAGAACTATGTGATGATATATTAGTACAATACATTTGTTTGTTCTCACCTTAAACCTACCAGGGTAATATTGACTTATTATCCCGAGTGATTAGGTTTCAAATTGTGTTCACATGATTATTATTACACTTACTATTATCCTTGTCTCCTCTTACCCCATTTCCAGTCTGGTTAACCTTCTCTATATATAAATGTTCTTAACAAGTATATGTGTGATCACATTGTTGAAAATGTATTGCGCTAATATATCATCATATAATTCTGATAATCTTCGTCTTCTTATTACATTATCGAAAATAATCATTGTCGCATTCTAACTAACAGTCTAATTGTTAAAATCTAAATGTTTTAAAGATTAATCTTTCACTTCATAATTAATTATACTTATCCTGTTAACTAAATACATTTTCAACTTACTAATAATCAAGGTACTTAATATCTAGATGATTCAAAGATTATATTACTGACAAATAAATGATAGGATTATGATAGGAAAATGATATTTACAATGGATTGATTATTGAATGGTGATCAATGTTATGTATGTTAGGTCCTTCTTAATACATATCGAATCCAAATGACCAAGTTGTAATGTAGTCACTAGTCTAGGTGACTCAATATTAATTACAACAACAAGAAAAATAGCATTTTCAGTATGAAGTAATTAAAATCCATCATTTAACAATTGAAGATAGAATGTTTAGATGGTTTCAGATAAATTGTAAGAATTATTACTTCTTAGTACATCAAATGAATAAAGCTTTACAGCTGCTAGGACATTAGTAATAATAATAATGATAATTTATATGTAACATCCAACACTAAAATCAGAAATTTCAATACAAATGTCAAGACAGTTCGACTGTATGGGGGCGGAAACTTGCAGAACTACGAAAGCTATCATTCACAAGATACAAGTGTTTATTAACAGTTGTCTACGCAAAATACTTCGGATTCGTTGGCCAAACACTATCAGCAACAACCTACTGTGGGAGAGAACAAAACAGATTTCAGTGGAGGAAAAAATCAGGAGGAAGCTCTGGAAGTGGACAGGACATACATTGAGAAAATCACCCAACTGAGTCGCAAGGCAAGCCCTCACATGGAATCCTCAAGGCAAAAGGAGCAGAGAAAGACGAGAGAATACAGTACGCCGAGAAATGGAGACAGACATGAGAAGGATGAACAAAAATGGGCTAGAACTGGGAAGGAAGGCGGAGGACAGAGTGGGTTGAAGAATGCTGGTAGGCGGCCTATGCTCTATTGGGAGTAACAGGCGTAAGTAAGTAATATCCGAATGATTAAAAAATTGAATTGTTCATATTATATAACAAAGTATGTTGCTTTTTCAAAGTACAAATGATCAAATCCAGTAACTTATTTTTTAAAGAGGAGACTTACTACAAATTACAAAACACTAACTATTCAAACTCACTATGTTTTGAACATTACAAATATAATAATATCATAAATATTTTACCCAAATACTTAATTGGTTTGAAATGGTCAAATTGAATCTTGATAATGAATAATAATTTTAATGGAGTTTTGTTCTCTGAGCTGGATGGTTTAGTCGTGGAGTTTTCATCGTTCTCCTGAATGACATCGTGAGTACAAACTTCAAGTAGAATTGAAATGTTCGAATTTCTCCATATATGGTTCATAGTTTGTCCTATACATTTTGATGTTCACAAGCTATGAACCACATGTGGAGAAATTCGAACACTTCAATTCTATTTAAAGTTTGCACTGATGATGTTGTTCAGAAGAACGATGAAAGCTCCATGACCAAATCATCCAGCACAGACAAAAAAGAACTTCATCAAAATCATTCACCTGAGCTACAAATCTTCTCCACCATCTCAAAATGAATAATAATAATAATAATAGTAATAATAATAATAATGTACTTACTGTACAATCCGTTTTCCACTCTGATTTCATCGATTGTATATCAGTAGTATTCATTCTATTGTTATAATAATATTCTTATTCAAGAAGTAAACACAATAATATATTTCATTCAATGTTATATCAAGTGAATATAATACTTCCTTATGAATGATCTTTTATAGTAATATCATAATTAGTAAGTATGTTGATCAAATATAAAACTATAGTTACAATATAATTTCATATGTAGAAGAAGAAGTAGAAGAAGAAGAACAAAAAGTGTATCTCTATATTCAATTTCATTCATAAATATAAATAAGTCATAGAATTATTATTATTATGATTATTATTTATTCACCAATCCATAATCGTCATGACAATCTGTATAAGTTTTTTTTAACCTATAATAATTTTTATAAAAAATTTTCCTATTCGGATGAATAGAAAGAAAAGTAGGTTCATTTATAAGAAGAAGAGAGGGGGGCCGACTTTATTTGCAAATAGTTATATATTCGTATACTAATACTTATTTATGTGTGTCTATGTGTATGTGTATCAATATATATATATATATGTATGTGTGTACGAACACAAATGTAAACATTTCTGTATAGTCAGTTTGTTCTATTCGATCGGTAAAAATAAGAATAATAGGTGGGTGGGTGGGTGGTATGGTAGTACTAAATGTTGTATACTTATATATATATATATATTCATACTGTTCTGGATATACAAACAATAAAGTGTAGAAAATTTCTCAGAAATAAGGTTGGTTCATTTTTGATTGGTTCGCTTTTTAACTTAAATTAGTTCTTCTTTCAAACTTATATGTGGGTGTGTGTAACCATAGGTGGGTACAGGAATTACACAGGAAATATGTATATGTATATATATATATATATAAGTACACAACAAAACCCATTTCATAAGAGGACAATGATAATACCGACTTATTTAGTGCGAATATATATATATATATATGTATATATACTTTTTAACACTGTTATTGTTAAGTATTAGAAGGGAGTTTAAATCGATTTTTCCAATTATTTTTACTCGTTATTACTTGTCGTTATTGTTACTGTCTGTATTTATCTCTCTCTCAATTCTTTTCTAGTTGAATTGATTCGAAAATCTATTCACCAGAAGATTTATATATATAATGAAACTATGGTGTTATTGAAGAAGAATTAAAGACAATTCAGAAAAGAAAAATATATATATATTTATATGAGAAGGGATTTTGTGGAGATTATAGTAATTTCAATAGTTGAGATCATGAGTAGTCAATTGAAGCCAAACCACTATGGAAAACCTAGAAGCATTGGACGGCCTTTTCATCCTAGTATGCGATTCCTCAGTAGTTCGCATCCACGATTTCGCCTTGAGAGATATGAACCCAACACCTATCAGTCTCGCGCATGAGCGAGCGATTAATCACTGGACCACTGAGACGGCTGTGTTAATGTTTAACTTCAACTAACCCATGAAATTCAGTGACGCATCCGTCATTGTCTTCAGTGAGTTACTATCTGACACTACTGAGCAGTCCCACAAGAGGACAAAACGGCAGTCCAATACTTCCAGGTTTTCCATAGTGGTCTAGATTCAATTGACTCATGATCTCAACTATTGAAATATATACCATATTACATAATTGTTACAATATTTCCTCTTTATTTACGAGTTCGATTTCTAACAAAGTTATGAATAGGAACTAGTAGGAACTAATGAAACAGTTATTCAATGTTCCTTAGTATTTGATAATTGAACTCAGTCTATAATCCGAACTAAAATTACCTAACTTGACTAAAACAAATTAGATTCACTACAAAAAGGTTAATACTTAAAAAAAAAATAAAACAATAAATATTGTTGTAGAAATCGAGAAATAATTTTAAATTCATCAAGTGTTCGTCGAGACTATAATTTATGGACGAACCAATCAGGTACAAGATAACAGGTCTCGGGTTTTGGCGCGAAATTCATTCATACATTTGAGTAAAGGAAGTTTTGACATTATAGCTGATGTCAATTCGTGATGAAAAACCGTAAATCTAATTCTTAACCCTAACCATCAACTGTAAAACATACTTCTATTCTGTCATACTAGTTTATAACCATCATCTCGTCCTGCTTATTAAGTGGACACTTTCAAGGTCACTTTGGCGTCGCTCAAAGGTCATCCATAAATTATAGTTACACTACTTTGATAAATTTTCTTGAATTATAGAGACATATTAACGTTGAAGATATAGTTAGTTAGAATAGATAATGTTAGATAATTTGATTTATTCGCTCCACACAATGCCATAAATATGTTAAGTATATAATGAAGTTATCGTTCAATGATTTAAATACTCATATTTTGTTGACGGAAATGTATAGTGTTTGCTACGATTTAAGCAGTCATGTTACATTTCCAGATATCAAAAAATAAACTTGACTTAAGCATAATACACAAATTCGTAGTTCATGACAGAGTTGTAAACTTTTATTTGGATTCATAAACGACAATCAAAGATCTATTAAAAAGAACAGTTACATTTAACTGACGAGTCTTGAATAGGGTAAAATACACTTCCCGGTTTAACACTGTAGCTATGTACCAATTATACTTAGTTATTTATGACTGTTACCTCTCATGGAGGAGCATAGACTGCCCACTACCATCCTCTATCCAACTCTGTCCTGAACAATCCTCTTTAGTTGTTTCTACTTGCTATTCATCCTTTCCATATCTTCGTCTAATTCTCAACATAGTGTGTTCTTTGGCCTTCCACTTTTCCATCTCCATTCGGGATTCCATATTAGTATTTGTCTCGTGATACAGTTTGATAAGTTTTTCATTGTATGTTCTATACACCTCCATCGTCTTTTCGTCATTTCCTCCTCATTTGGAAGTTGTTTTGTTCTCTCACAGAGTAGTTTGTTGCTGATGATTTCCGATTAACAGACACTAAGTATTTTGCGTAGACAATTGTTTATAAATACTTGTACCTTTTTGATGATGGTTGTAGTAATTCTGGAAGTTTCGGCTTCATTCATTAGAACTCACTATGTTGACGTTCATCTTGAAGATTGTGAACTTGATATTGGTTTATAGAAAGTTGTTTCAAGTTTCATATGTTTTTCAACCACCACCAGAACTAGAATACTTGTTACTCGACTATATACGCAATTACTCAGCAAGCATTTAAACATGTAACATTTCATTACAATAATCATTGAAAGCATCCCTACACAAACTATGTTCATCATTAAAAAATTTTTATGAATCAAGAAAACATAAAAAATACAGTTTTTCATTACGCATTATTATTTTATTGATCAAGGTGAACAAATGATATGAAAACTAAATCAATTTACAATCATAAGTCACTGGATGTTTCCAGTGTGCAGCCATATTTGGCTACTAATCATTCTTAATGCATGAAAGTAAAGTATGAAACTTTTTCCGTAAAATATCAGTTCCCCAAGTTCATTTAATGTTATGGTGGAGTTTCGTTCTCTGACCTGACGTTTGTGCTCATAATGTCGTTTAGAAGAACGATGAAAGCTCCACGACTAAACCATCCAGCTCAGAGAACAAAACCCCATTAAAATCACCCACTTGAGCTACAAATCTTCTCCACCATCTCATTTGATGTTAGTTAAGAAAGAACTATATATACACATAAACATGAATTATATCAAGAAATCACTTTACTACTAATACAGCTATTTGAATCTGAAAAACATTTAACAGATTGTTGTTGTTTTTCTTATTATCTCAGTGCACAACTATTCAGTAGCATGCACCCATGACCATATCAAAGGTTAAACCCAGAACCTTTAGCTTTCACAATAATTATTCATTCTTTAGACCAATGATTTAGTAACCAATAGTTCATATTTTTAACTTCAGTCATGAGTTAGTGTAACCTATAAAATTTAACAAACTTCACAATCATCAGAAGGGGTTTGTGGAGATTTTTAGAAATTTTCACAAATTGAAATCATGAGTCAGTTGAAGCTAGACCACCACAAACCCCTTCTGATAATAATCATCTGCTCACTAGTGACTGACTTCAAGAGATACTCCTGGAGTTCTAGTGGGAAGCCGTTACCAGTGGAGTACAACCAGGTCTGTTGTGAGATATCAGCTCACTGAAGATAATGGTATATGGTGGCGCAACTTCGTGGATTGGTTGAAGTTAGACATTAACACCGTTGGATGCCGACCGGCTCAGTGGTCTAGTGGTTAAGTGCTCGCGCGCGAAGCCAGTAGGTCCTGGGTTCGAGCCCCGCGTGGTGCGGGATCGTGGATGCGCACTGCTGAGGAGTCCCATACCAGGACGAAACAGCCGTCCAGTGCTTCCAGGTTTTCAATGGTGGTCTAGCTTCAACTGACTCATGATTTCAATCTGTGAAAACTTTACAATCCTCCTACATGGATCTGAAATTTTCACTAATAGGATTAGTTGAAAGCTCATTAACTTTTTATACAGCTTAATAGTTTTATTTATTACCTTCTAACTATTTACAGAAATTACTTTCTCTCTCTCGAGAGAGAGAAAGGGAGTACGTCTATGTTATATCTAAATACCATGGACATAATAGGAATAATGTTAACAAAAAAAAGGAATCAATAGTATTATTATAAAGGAAACGATTAAATTATAATTAACATGACGATGACGATTATAAACTAACCATGTTACATAATATTTCACCATTAACTTCATTTTTCATTTTGTCCAATAGATTTGGTTTCTATTACCGTGTTCCATATGGAAACACACACATACACACACACAAAGAGAGAGAGAGACTCATACCAACATTGACACTTATGTATAAATGTATTACAGACTCATTAATAATGTACACAAACGTATAATATGTAATAGGAGTTGACTTAATCATTGAAGAAATTCGTTTTATTCATCATTAATGTACAGAAAAAGAATGCGGGTTCCATGTTGTTGTCGTTTTTTTTTTTAGAAACTAGACGTCATCATCAGACATTAATCTTTACTGATTTAACCAATATGATAATTTATCATTTGAAATATAACTAAAGTAACCAAAATAGAATGATTAAAAATTAAAATTTCCTTAAGTGAAATATTAAAAAAAAATCAACCATTTCAATCTATACTACTATCATATACTGACAGTATTGGTCATTTCAATGAAGAATCATAT